CACTGAGTGGCCCCTTCCAGGCCTCCCTGTGCCCACCCACCCAGCTCCTGTCAGACTGAAGATACCTGCAGGACTTCAGAGTGACTGTCAGATTTCATTTCTGAATAAGCAGCAAAGGTCAGAACTTTCAGGAGAGGACACCTGGCCTGGCCCCAGCTGGGTAACTGCTGCTCTAGATGAGGCTCCGAGGGAGGAGACATGCATCTGGTTCATTCCAGAGGGGGCTGGAAAGACTGGCGGCTGGAATGCTAACCCAGGTGCTTCCTAGTCAAACAGGTTATCTGCACGTACTCCGATCACAAATACCTCCTGTGCGCTGGGGCCTACCGCAGGCTGCCCCGAGGAAGCCCACTCTTTCCAGATGAGTGGCCCATGCACCTGAGCCCCACTGCCCTCGCTGGGAGGATTCTGCTTCACAGCGCCCCTAAAGGCAGAGCGGAGCTACTCCGCAGGGTCTCCACGTAGTTCTCCCACGGCATTGCTGGAGGGCTCAAACGGCTGACCTTCCGGTGGCAGCTGAGCACTTCACCACTGCACCACCAGAGCTCCTGTTGCACATGTGCCCACCCCACTGTCATGAAGGCCAGGGCTTTCCAGGAAGGGCAGGGCCTGGGCCTGGACAGCCAGGAGGCTGGAAGGGGCGTGGGAAGCCATGTTTCCTTGGGCACCAAAGGGGCCCACAGAGGTGAAAGCAGACATGAGACCTGATACCACAAGAGCCAGACCCACAGAGGGCCATGAGATCAGAGGTGCCCCAAACTCACCTTGAGGCACCCCAAAAGGGTTCCAATGGCACACAGAGGGGTGGAAGCTCACAGGTGTGGTCTTGAGCAAGAGCTGCTGCTAAATGAACAGCGTTAACTTCTCCCAAGAATCTTGCTTCTTGGTGGGGCTTTATGGGCTGAGGGCCCGCGCAAAGGGATGGGGGAAGGTCAACCGTGTGATGGCTCCCTAGGGGTCACTGAGTAGCACCCTGCCAGCCTTAATGTTGCCGGTTAGAAGTACCACCTGGGCTACTATGTAACACTAGGTTGCTTCATTTTTACAAAGCAGGAAAAAAAAAAAAGAAACTTTGTATCACCACTTTGTAAAGCACTCATCTTTGCCAAAACAAACAGGAAATAAGCAAATGAGAACAAAACCATCGACTAGAGACAATGGTGTCTGGGGAGGCCCAGCTCAGGGCCTGCTTTCCCACTGGTGAAGAGCCTGCCAAGTGCGGGCAGCTGACGGTGGACTGCCACACGGAGACGCTTTCCTTGACAACTAAGAAGAACCATCTCTGTCGTGTTCTTTGGAGAGCAGAGCCCCTGAGTGACACAAGCAGTTAATGGGGTTGACTGCTGAGCAGAAGGAAGTCTGAGGAGTGATGGGGTGTGTGTGTATATTTCTGCTTGGGCACATGGGGGGATTGCTGGCCATGAGTTGGAATTGGTTTGACAGAAATGGATTGGGGGTCCTGTCCCCCCGCCCCCCCCACAAACAACCCCCCACCCCATCTCCCCTTTCTCACTACCTCGTTTTCAGGCCACTAAAAAAGCAAATTCCCTCCTGTGCACCAGGGCTCGCAAGGGGGCACAGGGGCGGCAGTGGGGGAAGACTGGGGCCTGCTGCAGGAAAAGGTGGCCTGTGCTTCCACAAAACATGGCTTTATTTGGGAAACCTGCCTCCCAGTCACCCTGCCTCACAAGCAGAACCGTCAGCCCCTAAAAACACTCGGCAGCTTACTCAACTCTGCATCGGAAGCATCATTTACTCTCAGGCACCGCAGCATGGCTCACAGACGCTCTTCCACGGGGCCCCCAAACATCACCAGCGACTTCTGCCTGCCTGGCTCATGCTGGGAGCCCAGCCCCCTCTGTGAGTGTGTGTTGGGTAAATGAATGAGAACTGACAGCCAGAAACCACTCTTTACCCTCAAAGAGCCACTTAATTTATGAAAGTCCCTGATAGCAGTGATAAAGTAGCTGGCATAATATGCCCAGGGCATCCAGTTTAGCATTACACAATACTCAGAAGACACTGGTATTCTACATAAACACAGGACTGAAAGGAAAACCTGTGCAGTGGATAGACTAGCTATTCAATCCGAGGGCCCTGGGAGGGCACCTCTCACACAGGAGTCATGGTTCTAAGTGCATTCACAGGTCCCTGAGGCAGGGAGAGTTACAGCACACGGCCGGCCGGGGTAGTGGCGTCATACATAACGGTAATTATTAAAACGAGAGTCTCCCTGTATTTACAAGGGGAATCCAATTTTTCATTAAGGTCCCAACAATAGGGAACAGTTAAGTAAATTATGGCACGTTAACTGGATGGAATATTAAACAGCCATTAAAATGACAAATTTGAAGATTATGTAGCTACATGGAAAAGCGTGCATGAAATTATGTGAAGATAAAAGGGAAGACTGTTACGTGTTGAGGTTTTTTTACTGTGTCGAGGGCAAGCTGCATACTGTGGGGCCTCCCAGACACGTCCTGGGCACATGTGCAGCGCCCCAAAGGGGGTTCTGGCTCCCTGTTTAGAGACTGCCGAGAACGTCAGCATCACACACGTGGCCTGTAATAGTGCAGCTCTGGTGACGGTGCTGTGAGAGTGCATGCGGATACACTCTGATAGAGAGCCGAGAACTGGATATAAGATGGTAAACAGAGACTGTGTGCCAGTGCAGGGGTGACGGCAATGTTATTTTTAGTTGCTTTAAATAATGAATAAAGACACTGGTACAGAAGAAACTTAATGACGGCAGGAAGCCAGGAGCATCAGTATGATTTCCTGCAGGTTGGGCTTGTGAGAGCTGCACCTGTTTCGCCCTGAGAACAATTCCTTATGGGAACATCTTCCCTCCCAGACATGGTTCACCAGCAGCCCCCCAGGAGACGTGGGCCCCCATGCAAGGCCCCCCCCCCCATGTCTCTAATGACCAGCCTATCCTTCTTATTACCCAGACCAATCAGTGATGGGCCAGAGACTGGTGTTACAGAGGAGCTGGTGACTGTATGTTTTAAGTCACCCGTTATCTGAACATCCCCCTCTATAAATTCATGGAGAATGACCTTTAATATGGGGTGGCAGGCTGTGATTTCATGCCTCTTAGGCAGTGAGCAGAAACATGAAATTGACAGGGTGGGGATTTCTCTTCGACCTTGGGAGGAGAAAGGTTTTCAAGTAGAAATACAAATGTTGAAGGAATGAAAAAACAGAGCACTTTCTTTAGAATCAGAGAATGCTAGAACTGGAAGGGACACACTCAACCCTTTTAGCACCCAGATGAAGCAATTGCCCCAAGGGCAGGGAGTCAGGAGGGCTGGGTAGGCGTCCTGCCCAAGGTCTACCTGTAGGCCAGAAACAAGCTGATGGGAGTGTGGGACCCAGGACACAGCCTGGAGGCAAACAGGAGCCTCCTGATGAGATGGGACTGGGGGTTCTTTTCAAGAAGCTTCATTTTGCTCCAGTGTTCAACTCTGAGCATTAGTACTATTTTGCTTTGGCTGTCAGGAAGCTCTGCTAATTTTGGTGTTTAACTGCCGTAGCTCTATTCACCTAAACTTCAAGCAGTTTTACCCTCTCCCTCCCCTTTTCTGTGGATTCTGATTACTAACAGCCACAATATATACAATTTTTAAAATTATGGGCACAGTCTTAAATCTATATTTTAAAAATCAGTTGGACACATATCTAAACAAAAAATAAGCCCAAACCAAACCATAAAGTTATACATGGTAAGAAGACCAGAAAAGTATCTCTACCTGTCCTTTAGGAATAGAAAAGCAAGAGTGGAGCTTGGCTCTGGGAGGCTGTGGCAATGAGCCAGCACACCCCGGGTGTTCTCACCTGCACCCAGCTGCCCCTGGCTGAGCATCTCCCTACTGTCCAGCACCCCAAGACAGAGAGACACCTGAGGGGGCAAGAGAGGGCCAGAGCTGCCACCAGAGAAGGCTTGGGTATCTTAGCGACACTGGAATCTAAGAACCTAGAGAGCTAAGAAGTGGTTTTCTGCCGGAGGAGACCGGGGCGGCCTTCCAGCATGTCAGTGTGGATGGGGAGCATGGGGGAGCTGGAAGCTCTGACTGCTTTATGAGGCCGAAGTGAGGCCCCAGAGCCTCTGGGCAGGGAGAGGCTGGCATAGACCTGCAGGAGCCAGGCTGGAAATGCAGGCCCCTCACCTCTAATTTTCAAACCTGCTTTGTCTGGGAAGTCACACCAAGCCTCAAATCACAGGGTGGGGAGGGACTGGGGCACCCAGTCTCTGCCACCACCTTCTACTTCTCTAAGTATAAGCCTCTACTTAGCCTGTGGTGGGTGTGTCCGGTTGCTGTGACCATGAACAACGGCCACTGAGGCTTGGGGTAGTCACCTGAACCCTCCCACAGGGTCTGTCAATGCCTGGGCTCTGTATCCAGACTGCTAAGGGGACAGGTGGACTAGACTCTGGTGTCAATTGAAGAGTCCAGCCAGTGTCAGG